ATTATTATGCAATATACAATTTATGAACGATTATCGGTCCCTACATTGCACTACATGTATTACTATTCTTGATAAATAATGATTGAAAAGAAGTTGAACCTTGAATATTTATGAAGATGCCTCTGTGTTGCTTAGGTACTGTGGCACCTTGATGTGTTCCGGCGCAGTTTTCGTCAGCTCTCCGGCCATGCCTGCATGGGCAACTCCTGCATCTTCTGTGCACTCAAGGTGGGTAAGGCCTAGGAAAAACATGTTTTTTATAGCTCCATGATCTGACACCTAAGTGAGAAAATGTTGTACAATTGGCTTTCCAACATTGACATTGAAAATGGTGTCCTCTTGCAAGTATTACTTTGTTAAACTGTATTGTATTGTTAAACTACCGACCCTAGTGATTTTTTCAGGACTGAAATAGGAAACAGTTACATTTTTTCCTGGACGTACAAAAAGCGTACATCTGTAAAGTGTGTTGACCTGATAAGTTTAGCCAGACCTGATTGGTTACAAATTAGCTAACCACACTGCATTATCTAATATAGCTACACTACTCATTATCATTACATTGAAAAATGTAATTCGGATTAACTACATAATAATATCTTAAATATTTGTACCTACTAGTAGATGATATGTGCAGACATGTTAAAAGTGTTGAAAGTTCAATTGTCACAGTGGTAGATACATTACATTGATTGTGTTGGTCAGGACTGGTGCAGTCAAGACATATGAATTTTTTCTATAATCATGACTATAGCTGGATGACAGGATGTTGGCAAATATTAATGTTACATTGTCTACAGGTGGGCCATCTCATGTCAGATATTAATGATCATCCCCATATCATCCCCATGTTATAATCCAAAACCACTTCAAGCATGCCTACATGAACATGCATCATACAAAGTGATAGAAAGGTTTACAGTAATTCAGACAGTTCATTTATGAGGCCGGAAACCAAGTTGTATCCCTGGAAATAAAGATGTCACGAACAGAAAATTGCTCGTAAATCAAAGACAGTTCATGCCATAATAGCTGTGGAGATTCTATGTACTGTTGCCATCTTGAAGCAACCATTTCCAATTTGTGGGAAAAAATAAAAGACTAGTACAATATTTCATATAGCAAATTGCTTTCAGGCATAACAAACCAGTTTTGTACAAAAAGTACCGCATATTAAGACCAAGGTTTCATCCACTCAAGCTGGGATGAACTCATGCTCTTTTCCATAAGTGTGGTGGAATCTGTAACATCTTCGTGCATTAGAAATACATGTGTAAGCCTCTCTGCTTGAGATTCAGGTAGCAACACCGACTGCCCTTTATCTACAGGAGAAATATGACCTAGAAGTCCTATAGGCATTGACTTATGACTGTGACAGGTGTTATCTGCATGGGAATGTGCCCATATTGCAACAGGGGCAGTACTCATAGACCTAGTGTCAGTAAGCATTGGTCATTTTTACTGACATGCATTGAGAGGCAGCAAAGTCAAGGTTGAATGGTAATTTTTGCTGCTGACTGACTGACTACAGTACTTGCGGTTAGACCCAGACATGACTCTGTCTCCTGGCCCTTCAGTGACGTGCAATAAAACTAAAAGCTTTGTATCTAAGGTTGCCTAAAAAAACTCAAAGGATTTGGGACCATAAATGTTCATTACAACAGGGCTGTCCCAGTTTTGCCCTTTGGCTCAGAGAAGTGAGTAGATATAAAAAAAACTATGACCCTTATACATTGTACAATCATGTACCTTCAACATGCAATTATTTGTAGTATCTGTACCACTATAATAGCGATTACCAAATTTGCATGATATATCTATCCAAAAACACAGGAATTATTATATAGCTAGTATATATAGTATATGGTAGATATACAGCCACGGTAGATGTACCATACAGCTATAATTCCTGTGTCTTTTATCTGCTTCACTGAAGGTTTGACTGCTGCCTTGACTGTATGTTACACTGGGCAGGTACGGTGAGGCCACAGTTAGGGTACTGTTTTAGGACACCAGAATTGCACATCATTACGAAGTGGAATTCATCTTCAATATTTTTGTGACATGTGGGACACAGCCTGTGGGTGGCTGGTGTATTACTGTACAGTGACAACCCTTTTCAATTCCTGGACAACGTGTGCTGATTCTCAGTTTTGTAATGCTGCTCGTAAAGATGTCAGTTTATCATGAATTGATGTGAGATATTCCCCTGGACCAATGAAAGTGCTTTTATTGTGGTTACTGCAGTTTTGAGTTCCTTGGGGATTTTCGGTCACAGATAATAGGATCCTCCATTTATCCAGGCTTTGCACATTTTTGTATTCCATAAAAAACAACATTTGTCATTCTTAGGGAAATGGTTTGATTCTCATTCGAGCTTCATGCAGATGAAACCTTGCCCTTTTATTAGAATCCAAATACAGTCTTACATACACCCGTGGAGATTATCATGCTGTTCTGTACACTTATACATGTCCCCATGTACAGCAGAATAGACCTTGAGGCCCGCAGTGGTTCTTTCTTCAGTTCCTGAACAAATCCTCCACATTTATCACTGGTGGCGCCATCAAAATTATGCGTGCTGCTCTCCTGGTATGAACCAATGAGGCCTTCACAGATGATCCCCTTTTCATAGCCCTGACCTGTTGCTTCCTGCAAGTATTCACCCGACTGTAAAGCAGTATACAGTTTATGGCTGGGCTGCTAATTTCTCCTGATGACACTATTACGGATTATCATTCAATCCTTGTATAGTCCAATACAGGACATTAAGCTCGGTAAGGAATGATCAGAGCAGTAGTGTGAAAGGCCATTGGCCTGATGCAAAAAAAAAGGTCTATTAACAGAACCATTTACAGTTTCCAACAGTAGCACAGGATTCTAACCAGGGTTTTATTATCAATTCAAAGAATTAGCGTAATGGTAAGAGCGATGGAAAGAAGCAACCAATAATGGGAATGGTGCAGTAGGGGGGTCTTGACCCTTCCACAATGCAAAGCATTTATAAAATGTAAGCTAAAAACTTACTATATATAATAGAAGGTCTAAGAAAGTCTAACGGCTCAAGGGTTTTTGGGTAGTTTGAAGGGGCCTTATCAATATTTTTCACATTTGATCTGACGTTTTTACACAAGTACATGTAAATACAAGCTACACTTGTTGAAAATAAGCATATGGTCCTCAAGGTAGTTTGGTGGTCCGAAATAATAGCATGATGGCCAGATATGCCAAAATGCAGTAGCTGTATAAGATTTCAGAGTGGAAAACACTTTAAAGTGTCCAGCAGTAACCTTTCTGTATTCTGTAAGCATGTCTGATCAATGGCTCCATTCCCGGTTCTGTGTCGTGTCCAAAACAGATGGCGGGACCAAATCCTTGGCCCCTGTGATCTCTAAACGCTACTCTAAGACTGTAATTTCCCACAGGTGGTTCTGGAACTAGCTAAACTGGGCCTGTGGAGGCGGTGATTTATAGGAAAGTCAGGCCCGGGCAGGAAGTTGGCCCAACACTGACATTAAATGGGAGAAATTGGAAATATCAAGTTGTCGCATGTTTTAGGGTCAGAATTTTATGTCACAGGCAGCAGTATGTTAGATGTTTTATATGCAGGCAACATAGGCTCGATTTTGTGAGTGACATTCTCAAATTTATCTAATATCAGATGGAAACCAATTTTTGATGATGGTATAACATGTGATTTTGTGACAGAATTACTTGTGAGTTTTGTGAAGTTTACAGATTCACTTCACAATGTATAATACATGTATGAAGGGTTCAGTAATTTTTTCAATTCAGTACCGTCTTATTGGGATGAAAGCATTATCACATGTCTTTGCCCATCTGTTGAAAGGACAACTAGACAAGTGAACAATTTCTGATGTTATTCAAACAAAAAAATGGTCTTCATGCCCGTAGCCAGGGGTGGTTAGAACCCTCACACACACACACACACACACGTTCATCAAGGGTTCACTTTTTCTTAAAAGGTCCAAGATTTTTCTTTACGAGGTGGACTGATTTGTATCACCAGCGGGACTGGAATCTTATTTGTCTCTGATTTTCCCTTTGAAAACCTCTCAAAAATGCAGGAAATGCTATTTCAGAAGGTTCAATTTTCAACATTCCTGGGGGAGCATGCCCCCGGACCCCCCGCCCCAGGAAGCTCAAGACCTTGGACAGTAGGAAGAACACCCCCCCCCCCAAGCAAACTCCCTCTGGCTACGCGCATGGTCTTGTACTGTCCATGCACTGAGGGAATTTGTATTTTGTATAAAATTTTTATAACCTAACATCTACATGATTCTACACACACACAGGTCATCTTCACCCAGTTCCAGTACAGTGATGAGACAGCACTCCCACCTGATGCCCTGAGAAAAGCCCTGGCTGAGACCTTTGAGGACCAACAGAGATTTCAGCTGGGGTTTATGGATGATGCTGCTGAATGCTTTGTAAGTCTGCAGGGCTGTGTAACACAATCTCTCCCTGTCAGGGGCTAAGTTTAGAGAACCATTCCTGGAACTACCAGCTCATGATTCTTTCATGACAGTTTCACAGACAACGTTTAGCATGCTGAAGATGAAAGACCTTGTCACCATAATTGTTAGGTTCAGCTTCAGGGTTAGAATGGATCGGCATAGTAGTCTATACATTGTTACCCACCGCTGGTGGGAAAGAGGAGTTAGAGAGACATTGTATGAACTGTACAATCTACGGGGCTACGGGTAGAACTCTCTGGCACTTGTTTTTAGCGCTCCCAGCCCCGAGGACAGACAACACGTAAGCTCCAGTTCTGAATCAACACTCAGGAGCTGTTTGACTAATTTGCATCATCCTTGTCTTGACTTGTCTAACTTTTGCTTAAAGCAACTGGATATGATTTTGGAAATGGTCAGATGTTTCAGGTAGCAGCATCAGTGACACTAAGAGACCAGAGGAGAATTGCAAGGTTTATAAGGACAACTGATCTTTTCTGACAACTCTTTAAGTGTCGCTGACAAAAGGTAGTGGATGCTACCTGAAACATCTGACCGTTTCCAAATATCTTTTTAGTACCTGGATGTCTAACCTTCACTGATATATAATACAGGGTATGCAATATACAGTACTAGTATACAATATTACATGCTTTGAGAACAGACATCATACAGCGTACAGTTTTAGCCTTCAGTTAAAGACAGGGATTCCACTCAACCCATATAAATGTGAACTTGTTGAACTACTGGCCATTCTCTTTCTCAAGGAGAGTTTGTCTATGGTGCTTTTGACCTCTGCAGCATCAATAGGTGCGAGAAGGTCGGTTTGAGGGTTCCATTTTGCCTGATGGATTGTTTCCTTCTCTGTACAGGAAAGCATCCTGCTGCGAATCCACTACCACATCGCCAACGAGGTCAAAGAGGACATGTGCAATGCCAAACACTGCATCTCTCACCAGAAGTTTGCCATGACTGTTGTTGAGCAGGTCGGTACCCATCCTATTTTTCATTACGGAGACGTGCTGGCTTGTATCCAGGATAGTTTTTATCCCGGGGTAGAGTCTCTGTTAGGCCCAATGTGTCAAATAGACTGTGAAGTAGAGTCACCTTGTAGAGATACATGTACATTGTATTCGCCTGCACTCTATCTTCTTGCTCCGTTGGTCAGTGTAATGCTCCATTACCCATACTTGATTTGCTGTTACTACATCTCCGGAGAGCCAGATTGTATTTACGATATTGCGGTGATTGAATTACTGTTGGTAGCCCGCCTCTGGACCAGGGTGTCCGAGTGAGTTCGATGCCTAGCTGTGTCGCTCACTCAAGATGCAAGCTACATGAAAGGGTTGCAGTCCTTAGACGGACTTGTTAAGCTGTGGTTCATTGTACATTGAAATGCTTAGCCGAGGAAATTTCCCTGGTATAATGAGCTTGTATACACTTTACATATTGTCTGTCTTCTCAGTGCTCATTGAGTTCGTTTGAGTTGAACTGGGTCGAGATCACTTTTAACAGTAACTTTATTCCCCCCCCCTCTCCTGTGTAAAGTGCATGTGTGGCTGTGGTGCGACGTCGGAGCCTCTGCCCTTCACACAGATGGTCCACTACGTGTCAGTCACGGCCATGATGTGAGCACCTTTCCTTACCTACATGCAACACCTAGCTAGAATTTTTATGCTTGCTCGTTGAAACTTGAAATCTGAGACCGCCTTTTCCATAACAAAACAGCTGAATTTTGCAGGACACATGCATGACTATCCCAAGAATTTTCTCAATTTCTGATTGTATATTGACAATTCCACCAAAAGATAACATTGGCTTTTCCAATGTATGATTATGTACAAAAGGCTGTCAAAGGTCAGCGAGTGAGTTTATTTAGTTTATTTTTATCAAGTAATAAAGAATCAATGTGCCAGGAAACCATAGCAACCGTTCATGAGAAATGGTCCGACGCCTAATTATAACTACTACAATAACATTTTAGCTAGTAGACATTTTTGTCCATGGTGCTGATCTTGCTACTGTTATGCTGGGTGCCATCAATACAGACTGCCTCACATGACATCATGTGTAGTTGTGTAGATGTATTGATTATATTTTTGCTGTATAGAGCCCAGGGAAAGGAGATGTTAGAGAAGACAAAGAAGCCGTACCCGGAGATGTTTGGACAGCTGCTGAAGAATGCAGGCGGTGTCGGTGACCTCAGAAATTGTCCTGTAAGTTAAAAGCATGATTATAAAACCAGTGTCAACCTTTTCAGTCATTGTTACCATGTTTAACGTTAATCCACCATTTTTAACAAGAAATTTGAGATTTCAGACCTCTATGAGTTATTTTAGGTTTTCAAGACCATGAAGTTCACCTCATTTCCTGTGTCTGAGTTTTTGACCTACAGTTATTCTGTCTTCCCTACCCATATGCTGTCAACCAACTCTGTCCTGAGACACATACATACAACCCTGTACTCAGCTACCCAAGACAATATTTCCATACCTAGAATTAACTAGAAATAGATGACAACAAAGTCTTATTCATAGCTACAAAACCTAATGCACGTATTCACTGTACAATGTATTTGTTGTACAGCTGCGTGTGATGTTTGCGGAATATTTACAGTGATACTTGCACAGGGGATTGATTGGCTGTTACCGATGTGAAATATTACATACCACAAATCTTTCAGGGCCAAGGCCCATTTTACCTGGAAACCTGCATGTAGACATGCGAAGGAGCCAACAAATCAACACAGTAAAAACAGTTACCTACTTGGTAATGAGCTCCAGTGGATTATCAGCTTTCCTCAGGCGTCCACGTAACTGTGAAATACACGACCATGCAGACACCTGTTATAATTCTGAAGCAACTAAAGGTGAACTGTAATTTCCAACACAGAAATTAGACTGAATTGCTTACCCAAATTTTTGACTGCCCAGCACACGCTTTATCATGGAATAGCAATCCATCTGTGGTGTCATTTTATGCAGATTGAACACATGACTTTTGGATCATAATTTGCAGAAAGTTTATGGTGCCTCTGTCTCTGTTAGGTTCTGATAAGTTCAATTATTGTGCAGTAAATTACCATTACACTTTGCTTCAGAATGACTTCTACCAACAGAGATAAACTTTCCAGCTTGTGCCATAATGATGATCTATGCTCATGCAGCCGCTTACTTGTAAAATATCCTTGTTCCTTGTCACTTCTCTAGAGTAATTGCGGAGAGAGGGTACAGATCAGAAGGATGCTGATGAACTCCCCTGAAATAGGTGAGTAATGAGCCAATCCTGACTGTCTATCACAATTAGTTCAACCAATGATTAGATGGCAATTAGCAGTTTGACCAATGAGGGAGTGGATGTATGTTAGCAAGGCTGTTGATGGGAAAAGTGATGAATTCTCAGGGAGATGGGGCATACATTAGACCATTAACTAAAATTGCTAGTAAGAAAATCAATTATCAACACAATTTCATGTAGCCTTGATTTTTGTCCAGGTATTATCACATGACATCATTCAAACTGGCCAAACTCTACAAGTTGTACTGTAACAGTACATTTAGAAGTAGGGATTTTTTTGCATTAGATGCATAAGCCTCTTTCCTATAATGCTAAGATTGTGTTTCTTGGAAACCGCACCATGTAGTGAGCCTGGGCCTGGTGTGGGACACCGATCAACCCACAGTGGAGCACATCATGGACGTCATCAACTGCCTGGGAACCACCATCCGACTGGTAGATGTGAGTATCCCAGGGTTTTATTTCATCTTATTTGTTTCAAAACCTTTTAGCCCTGCTGGGCTAATCTTCTAAGGCTCAAACACATTTAAAATGACATAATTACACATGATAGCACAGAAAAGTACAGTAAAGTTACATTTAAAAGACATATTTACATCACAAAATCAACAATAAACACACAAATCAACATTAACAATTTAAAAACTAATTCAAAAGGCCGAGGGTCTAGGTGACACTGTTTGGATAATGGCTTTCTTGAAGCTGGATAGATCACACAGTGTCTTAATGTGAGATGGTAGATCATTCCAAAGTGCAATTGCATACAAAAAGGGAACATTTCCTGCTGCTCGTTTTAAGTTTGGGTAATCTGAAGTTGTTGCGCATAGAAAATGTGGTGAACTTTTACATTATGGGGTTTACATGTCTCTATGCAAGACATGAAAGATCTTATACCTCTGTGAAGTATTTTTTTGTGTGAATTTCTTATTCATTATAATAATTGTGAATTTTTCACTCATTTTTTTAAAATGATGGACAATACATGTAAGGTCTGCTAGGTAAACATAATTCTGCCAGGTCATATATATCTGTCACCCTAAAAAATTTACCCAATGCAATGTCCCCCAGTGTATCTTAACTGTGCATACCTGTGGGGTGCTACACATCTAAATATCTGAAGTTATGGAATATATTATGTAATTCGGTGGATACATGTTAATAGAGGTTAGATACTGACTTAACATGAGTGGGCTGTCTATTCAGCTTTTCTCAACATGTGTGATTTGAGGCATCTGAAGTGACGTCACGGTGTCAGGAAATCTCGATCAGTCATCCCGTGTCGCTCGCCGCCCACACGGCTCTGCCGCCGGGAAGATAAGCAGACAGACGCCGCGTGTATCCTGATGTTACAGCCAGCCTCGTTTCAGCTGCAGCCAATCTGCAGAGTCACACATGGCGGGGTCGCCTGATGAGTTTGGGGAGAACCACAACCACAGTGTGGTGAAGGGGGTCAAAGTCTCCAGGTGGTCAAACTTCAGAGGGAAATGAGAAAATAGTCCTCGCTTCCCCAAACTACCCAACATGCCCAACTATTAAAGCCCCTATCCACTAGATAAAGTGACTGTCGAGTGAATAAAATTGAATTTGCGTGATGCTTGATTTTATGTTTGGAACATGGATGTTTGAGTATAATTTAAAGAGAAAATTTTACTAGTATGCCGTCTTCTGAAAATTTGTTGGTTAAAGGTGAAAAAGCAGTCTGTGAATTATTAGTTGAGCAATCAGTCAAATATTTTTCACTCATCAGTGGTGTAACAGCATTTGCAGCCTCCATGTACGTTTCAACTAGAAATATTCATGATTTACTTTACATCTGATTCAGAATGCAATATGAGGTTTCAAAGCACTTTTTCAGCAGCTATATATTAAATGAAATAAATAAAAGACGAGCACAATAAGGACTGTGTCTCTGAGGATCTTCTTCAATATCAGTGAAGTGGTGAAGTGTATATCCTGACATTTGGCATTTACCTCCTGTCTCAGTCAGGGCAGGAGATATGAATTCTGTGTAGGTCACCTGGTCACCTGAGATTTGGAACTTGACCTTGAAGAGATATGGGCAGGCAATGATTGACCTCGGTTTGCAGATGATTGGGAACATGGATGGATTGGTATACAAAGGCAGTTCCATGGAACGGTGCTCTGCATTCAAATTGTGTAGGCTTGCCTCTCAATGTATCAGTAATGGATAAAATTGTATACAGTCGCATACCTGGTGTATAGTGTTTTTGATGGTATTGAATTTTTCACACCATATAAAGAATATGAGCATTCCAATCCACTGATATGCATTTTTAGCGCTTCTGCCACGGAGCACTTGAACTGTGTACAAGATTGGTCAAAGTTGTGAGGCCCGTTTCAGGGTATCAATGCTAACGTTATGTAAGGCCGCACCAACTACATATCATTCATAATTTGTACATTTTTGCAGGAAATTAATTAAAGGAATGAATTGGGTACGCGATTGCGCAAAGAAAAGAAAAGAAACACACATCTTGTGATAGACCAAAATGCTACCATAGGAGCCATGCTGTTTAACATTTCAACATCATCATCATCATCGTACATCCATAATCTGTACATCCAGTATTTATCAGAGTTGTACAGGGCAGCAGAGGCAATGTTCAGAATCACATGTAGCCGAGCTTTGGTAGCTTAGAGCCCGAATCACATAAGCCCACATCTGTTCTATAAGTGTGCACAGTTGACTGAAGTACCAACCCTCTAATATGCTATTATGCCCCAGGCCTGTGCTTTAGGCTGTTCATGGTTGGCTGTGTACCCCCTGATTTTGCTGATGGCATGCTTGTGTGCACATTTTTTTCCTTATGACATAGCAGGCTTTGAGAATTGATTGCGCCTGCACTCTACAAAATGCAATAAGCACATTTCAAGCAATAACCCCCTAACAGATATTCACCATATGTCATTGCCGTGTCTGGGAAATGTGTTGTCAGCGGGAGATTCGCCGTCACAGCTGTGACTGTCACAGTCGCAGCATATTGAGAAGCATCAACCGCAAGTTTACTCCTTCAAGGGCATGACCTTGTTCCTTGAATAATAACCCTTGGACGTTCTAAAGCCACACCTTTTCCTATGGGACCATTTCCCGTGCTTGTGTATGGATTGTGACGGCTGGCGGACTGGTGCATATGTCACACTGAAAGGAACCGCTCTGTCTTCTCCTGTCTTCAAACGGCAAGTTATGAACTGCAGAGTCCGGGGAAGGTATTGAGAGGGTAATGGAACCCAGCAATAAAGGGCCACCCTAACTCAGGAGAGAAAGATGGATCGTCCAAGTTATGGCTCGAGGGCTCTGATCCCTCATTCTTCTACAGCTTGACCTATGTTGTATTTCCTTATGAACAAATGGGTGCTAGCATTGCTGCATGAAAATTGCTCAGATTTAGATGTCAAGTTATCACAGCCAGAGACTCTGTCTCCTCAAATATAGTCTGACAGCTTCTCTGCCCTCAGGTTTTCCATTCCGTGGTGGACGATTCGGCGGCGGGGAAAGTGCTGCATCTGGTCGGGGTGGTCACGTACTACGGAAAACACTACTCCACCTTCTTCTTCCACACACGCTTGAAAACATGGATCTACTTTGATGATGCTACGGTGAAGGAGGTAAGATGTCATTGTATGTTTGAATTTCATTGGTGAAGACAGGCTATGCTAAACTATGAAATTTGCTAGTGTTTTGCATGAATGGTGAACCTCACAAGTCTGCACTGTAAGGTTTGATTCACACAGGGATGGACCCCTACTCGTTTCCCAGGGACACAACATTGAGGCCTAAATGGGATTCAAACACTTAGCCTACTGGTAACAACAAGTCTAGACTTCTCTTGCCACCTTACAGGTCATGGTACAATGTCAATGACCACGAATTTATTTGGCATTGACAGCCTGTACTAAACTGTAAATGCTTGAATACATTTTTGTAGTTTTGTATATTAGCCCTTTCTAAAGAGAGAATTTTTATTGCAGAATGATAGTTCGTATTGAATGCATAATGTTAAGTTTGACAGTTGAACATTTCAAACTTGAAAGTAATTACGATTGTGGAGACTTAAGTTTAGGAACCCTGTCTAGACTTCTGATACTGGTACTTCCGATAGGGAAAGAAAATCAGGGGCTCAGAGTGGATAGTCACCACAACACTTAGAAGTAATCCCTCCCTTTTCCAGCCAGTGTTTTTTCGTCAGACACAATTACCAACTAAGCCTTCTGTAATGACAAGACTGAAGGGTTGGAATGTTTCTCTTTCATGCGGCGTCTCTTCTTCAGATAAGATTTACTTTGAAACAAATCAAACAGACATTGATTGGTAAAATGATAATGCTGTCTAAACATTTTTTTTCAATCCTAATAACATACGACATTAACAGCTGATCCAAATCCAACATCAAATACCATGAACGTCATGTATTTTTGGATGTAAATCCCGGCTTTTGCGCTATTCCCGCGTTTGATCGCGCCGTTGCCTCGCCATCATTGTTGCTCCATTACCTCTCCTCCCCCTTCAAAAGCTCGACTTATTGTGCATTCTTCTGAGCAGGTCTCATTATTGAATGCTGAGGCTTATAATGGCAACGTGAAAACCTTATCAACCTTTTAAAAGGTTGCCCAGATGTGGTTCGTGGCAAGGCGTAACACGGCGTTATCCATTTAATCCGCTCCCCACAGATTGGGAGTAAATGGAAGGATGTTGTAGAGAAGTGCAGGAAGGGCCACTATCAGCCATTGCTGCTGCTGTTTGCTGACCACTTCGGCTCTCCGGTCAACACAGAGACAGCGCCAACGGAGACGACTATGCTGCCGGGGTATACCCACGGGGAGGGCACACAACGTACGTCTAGTGTATCTTCCTATGATACTAAGTTGTGATGCATGACTATTAATATGCCGGTCACATTCGTTGTACGATCGCAAACCAAGAGCATTTTTGGGAAGGCGGTGAAAGTTTGGTTTTAAATTCATCTGTTTTGTGTTACTGTCTTAGATGGTGATGTGCGGTTTGTTCTGTCACAGCCTGCTTGAAAATCCTAGTACGACATCAAAATCGTGCAACGAATGTGACCGCATCATTACACGTGCCGACTCTGCATGACTTGTCTTGTGGTGGGTGTCATTTCCTGCGTTGTGACTTGCTAATTGTATTTCAGCGCTTTGCTCCTGATACAGTAACGTCAGCATAAGAGATGTTTTTCAAAGTGATTACTGGAGAAATATGATACCCTACGGCAGTTACTGTAAGGGAACAGAAAGTGCAATATTCGGTTGGAGGTCCCTGGAGGCTGATGGGTATCATGTAATGTGGACTAAAGCACTAATCTGGAAATGAAGTTGACTCTGTATTACTGTAAATTCTTTTACTTTTGCAATGAGTTTAATTTGTGGTAGAAGGGAAGCGGTGGATTGCACTGTGTGTTAAACTCACAGCAGAAACAGCTGTTATACAGTTCATACATATTTGTGGCATCCCGAATTTGCAGTGGAGAGGTAAAATGAGAAAGTCTCATAATTGGTTTTTGAGTTGCATTATGCATGTAACATTATCATGTAACATTATGTTATACATTGCTGTGGTAATAACAAAGTATCAATCACATATTTTTACATATTAAACATATTTACTGTGACTGTTATATATTTTTTTGCACGTCTTCAACTCTGCATGTCTCTACTAAGTAATAACATGTAAGCCTTCCTTAAATCATCAGTTCTGATCATGCAAATCCATCTTATAGGATGGAAATAACAGACTGAGTCTAAAAACCAACTTAAGGCACTGCATACTGTTCTGCCAACTTGACAAAATTGTTAAGACATTTCACCATTCTGTATTATATACAATATTCCGTTACTGCTGATATTTGGCATGGACACCACATACAAACCTTTCTCCTCGTGGGGTTTACTACTATAGTACGGTCATCATTAACTACTGCAATGACTTTTGACAACACCTAAGTCAACTTTTGACAATACCTTACAATCAGTCCGATAATTACTCACTGATGACTGGTGTAGATGGCTGTGCAAGATTGGCTTGGGATTCATCACAATTAGACTTACCAATCATGATGCTTACAGGATGTGCACCTGGTTTTGCTCTTTAATGATTCTCTTTTCAGCTTTTCCAACTGTGACATGTTGCCAATCAAGATGACACTGTGTGTTTCATTGTTTTGTTGAATGGAATACTAACATACAGTAGTAACACTACATGTAAATACATGTACAATTGTAGATAGAGTAGTGCATATAGTACATGTTTTAACATATGATTGTACATGATCCATACATTGTCACATTGTCATGCTTCTTGTTTTTTTGGTTTGAAAATAATAAATGATGTGCAGTTTAGAGGCATCCTGTTATGTTGTGCTATTTTGTGCTTGTCCTGCTTTCTCTTTTTTTTCTTTTCCCAACATCCATCACTGTTTATTCTTACGTTCCTGAGGTCCTAATGGCTTGTTAAGGCCTTTTGTGTGTTTGAACACTATTGCAAGCTGCAATGCTACCATAGGCATCAGTGACTACATTCTGAAAAAAACTTGGAAATGAAGAGTGTCAATGCAAAATGGCACCTACATGCGTTGGCATTAAAAAAAAAAACAATGTTTGTATGAACAAGTTATTCAGGACCAGATTTGCAATCAAACAATAAATCTGCCATCTTAGGGCCTGATCAGTGTACGAGTGCCGTATGATCACAAATTAAAGTCATTCCTGTGACAGTTGTCCATGTGTTGTGTAAAATTCAACTGCCTTGTTATGGAAAAGCTTCTTTCACAACCTGCTTGAAAATCGTACGGCATGAAAATTGTAAGAAGGCCTACTGCAAAAAGCTATGAACTGTCACTGCATTCCAAGATTGGAAGACACGATAGTGGCTGAAACGACATCGAAATTATTCATCCGTGGTAAATCATCAACATTTTCCACTCAAGGCCAATAGGACCTGACTTGCCATACCACTTTTGGATCATTTCAACCTTGAACATTCACTTTGTTTCATATGTTTCTTTGCCCCCCTCACCCGTGCCATCTTCTGTGTTCTCTCCCTTTGCCTCCATCTCGTGGCGTGTGCTGTTTCTACCTGCAGTGCCTCGAGTGGAAAGAAGACCCTCCGGCGGATGGTCCATCTCCTTCTAAAGACAGTCCGCCGGCTCTCTACACAAACTGTCCATTCCTGCCTTGCTAGGCTCATCTTAGGGCAGCGTCACTTTTGTTGTAGGATCTGAGGGCATTCTTGGGATAGTCATTCCTGCTTGAAAATCCACTGACATCAAAATTGTACGATGACTTACGATGAATGTGATCGCGCTGTAAGCTCAACTTAGAGGAAGGTCCAAGTTGTTTTGGCAAAGATGTACTTGTTTCAATAGCAGTGCTCACAGGATGAAATGAATGTATGTGTTGAAATTTTAACCTTATTTTTGCTTAATGAAAATGAATTTCATGCTTACTGCACAGGGTCATATTTCTTTATTTAATTAGGGTCATACACTGTATAATTATCTAGTACAATATATAGACAAACATATTTATCAACCAGCAACATGATTATTTCATTATATTGAAATTAGCCCTCCAAATGCAATGAAAGCAGGGGTTTGTGGAAGTCCTAGTTGCTGTTTGTTGATATGAATGACAGAATTCTGCAGTACAAAATGAACTTACATCACGCTGTTTTGATAATCTTGTAGAAAAGTTGCCCGTTACTGACTGTCAGTAAGTCCTACTCTATAACTTGGACCTTCTAACAGAGAAGAACTTTTGGTAAACATCTGTTGTAAGCAGTTGTTGTAAGCTGTTGGCAAGGAGGGATTTCATGCAGAGTGGGGTTTGTTTGTAGCAATCCCATTTTACAAGGCTGAAAGTTCAAATCCTGGTGGAAACACACTACAGAGATGGTACAACCATGTAAAACTTTCAACGTCTTATTCAAGCTGAATAATAAATCCTTGAGCATCTTCCTGTTCTTCCCAGTTCAAGAGTACAAATGAATGTACATTTGTTGCACATCATATTTTCACCCAATCTCACGACATCCAGTCCTTCCTGGTCCACCTGTAAGGTGGCAGTTTGTAGTATAGCGTGTGAATTACTTGGAATTCTTTGCTGTCTATAATCACCTCTTGATCTGTTACTGTCCATTCCTACCTACTGTATGTACCATCTTCAGCACTGTTATCTTATGATGAATGAATAGACCAATCCTGACTGTCCATCACAATTAGCAGTTGAACCAATGGGAGAATGGCAATTAGCAGTTTGACCAATGGGAAAGTGGCTGCATGGCCATCAACTTGCATTGTCATTTTCTTATTTTTAATTTCTAAGTTTTAATGCAGTCTGTTGCTCCTTCATTCCCACTATTTGCCCAGGTAAATTATATATGAAGTAAAATTTACATTGATACAATTTTCAAAATTGTCCATGGAGCACAATTCTCAACAGACTGTAGACACAGAATTGGCAACAAAGTACAAAATTTGCCAACACCCTATACTCCAAACACTTAATAACCATTATCTGTTGATGATGTATGCACTAGATATAGTTTGAATTGATCTAGATTTCTTTGAAGTCCAGCCAAAATGTATTTTACTTGATGTTGTCAAATTGTACATTGAATTTCTTCCAATATCGTTGTGTCATCTGATGGATACTATATATAGATTTTTGAACTGTCCATGTGCAGTGTGATGCATTGTGGGTAATATGTTTAAGTTGAAGGCCACTGAGACATAAAACACATCAGATTCTGCACATGATGTCAACCATGGTCTAGAATTTAGTAGAAAAGACTACAAGCAAGGGGCCTTTAATTTGACTTGGCACATGCACAGTTAAAACTGTGAACTAGCTCATTTGGTGCATGGATGTATGCTACAGGGAGGAATTTAACCTCCCTTTTGTGAGCATGGCCAGTTTCAAATTTGTACTGGTTACAGCATAGGTCGAAAGGTTAATGGTGTTCCTACCTGATTGGATACTTGATTGTGAATGCTCCTACATGTATACTCAGAGTCTGTGATTCATTTTGATATTATGAAAGAGCCTCAAATTCATTATGATATCAGCTAACAGTCAGATATTGTCTGACTTGCTGCCGGTGTTATGAGCTGGATTATTAATAAGTGCATAATGATATCCTAGATTGAGCATGCCAGATTGATTTGGAGTCTCCTATTTCCAGCTTCTAATTCTATCTTTGGCAGTTACTACAGGAGATTAAATGTATATAACCCCACAGCTCTCCACAATTTAAGACCATTAAGTTCCTTGGACAAATGCAATAAACCAGTACTGGTCATAGGCATGCAAAATGTTACAACTATCACTAATGGTAGAGCCAAAACATACATCTACCAACTTGAAGTAGGTATGTGTATGTTCTGTGATAATGTGTATAACATGACCACTGCAATTTCTCCAAAACTTGCTAGGTGGTGTGCAGGAGTATACCTTATGTGGTTTCTATGGAGTTAACTCTAAAGTGGTTGTCATGAACAAAGCATAATATGCTACACAGTACAGTATTGTAGGTGTGAAGTTTGTGTTGTAGAACATTATATACATGTAGTAGGTACATGTACATGATTGTTAAGAAGAGACAATTGTACAAAGGATTGTAAAAAAGATTGTATTGATAAGATAAACTCATCCATGTGTTTGTTGGTAAGAGTTGATTTTAGACGGAGTCATGATAACTTCTTGTGCAGCTTTAATGCATATTTCTCTGTAGTATACCTGACATTGTACAAATGTACTACAAGTTATACATGAGACATTAAAATGTGACATGTAGGAAGTGGAATTGTGTTCATACGTTGTCCGTATTGTTGAATGCTCCATGTTTCAAAAGCCATGCTTCCTTCTTTTTAAACTTTGTGAGTATTACCAAGAACTGGGATAAAATTGACTAAAATTCGAGATAACTCCCCACCTGGTGCAAGAGATTGGGAAGAATGGCCACAGTGGTGAGTGGAAAGATAGCAAGAAGACTTCAGAATCTGTAGCATGCATTTCATTGGTGAGAAACACTGTTTCAAAATCCCTTGACAGGGGCACAGATTGAATATAACCAAGACTCCAAGACACCAGTGTACAACAACAGTCGTTTCATCACAGTCCCTTCTAACGCACTGTGATGGATCTTTGAACTGTCACAGAGTTAGGTAATTGTACCTAAACAGGGTGTAGCACATTCTACGATCATATCACAAAGGACTTACTATAGCATTGATTATCAAAATTTAATGTAATTGCCAAAAGACTGGAAGCATGTCTTAACAGGTGGTTGCACAGCCCTTCACCCTATTTCTTATCTCTCCACACCATCCTCTGCCATTTCTGTCAAGCAGCATCTCCTGTTTTTTTATATAGTTATATTTTTGTTTTTTTTTTTCAACACAAGTCTTCCAGGCAGTATGCACCATCTATTCCCCATCCCCAGAACCTTATCCGTAATGGTTATATCTGTTAATCACAGGTCTGTCTAAGATGAGCCCTGCTGCCTCTCCAACACGTCAAAAGAACAAGTCTTCCTCCACCAGCGGCCAGGCCGAGTATACGACCCACACTCTAGGCAAGTCAGATCACTCCAGCTCTTCCCACAAGGACTCCCGCTCCAGGAGAAAGTCGGGTTCGGACACGGCGAGTGTGAAGTCGCAGAGTTCGCAGAGCTCCAGGAGCTCCCGCAGCTCCAGCAGTCACGGGCAGTACGTCATCAACGGACCGGTGTCCCCAATGTCGGGAAAACGGGAGTGGGAGAACGGACAGACGTCACATCCGATACAGCCAGACTCCAGGCCTGTACAAAAGGAAGGTGCAAGTAAGAAAACCGCGCTCGTGAGAAAGGACAGTGCAAAGAAAGGGAAAGACAGGGTAAAAGCTGATTATGTACGATATCAGAGAAATGATAGTAATGAGAGCAAGAGTACACCTTCTTCACCAACGGGTAGTTTTGATAATGATCTGTTTTTGCAACAGAGCAGTGCAAGAAGGCAACCACAGGGAGCTGAGGCCAGCACCAGTGTGCCCAGTCATGTCCAAAGCTCTTCCTCTGGCCACCAGTTCATCCAAACTGGGGTCGATACCTTCGGTAATCCTACCAGTAGTCAGCCAGCATTTATGCCTGTATCTGCCACAGCCATGCAACAACAGTCTAGCCCATACAATAGGCAAGGGACAGAGAGCATTCAAATGATCCCACAGGTTGATTACAGAACATTTCAGCCGGAGGCGCAACAGAATGTACAAGTAAGCGTACAGGCCAATCAAAGAACGGGAAGCCCCTATGCACATGCATCTGGGCCTGCTGTGGATACTCCACAGGACTTGATACAGCTGAAGCCACAGGATGACTTCAGACAGAGTCTCCTACACAGTCCACAGAACACGAAGGGGCTTGTCACGACATCGCCGAACAGACCGCAGGACCGGCGTGCCTTGCTGCAGAGGAAGAACAGTGCCCCAAACTTCCCCACGTTCAAGCAGAACCTGTCTGTTCACGCAAGCGAATCCTCTTTGGGGAACATTGCAGCGTCAAACAGCCATGGAGATTTGGTGTACCTTACCCAACAGGGGCTGGAGAGTCCACAACAGTATGGACCTGATTCGAGTAGATCTGTGAGTGAGAAAAACACCCACATCCCTCAAACAAGCCAGCCCGGGGTTCCTCTGGGGTACAACCAGAGCCCTGTGGCCAGTAGCAGTGCATCCAAACCACAGACTGTGTACGTGGGTGACCGGATGGATGGGAGAACTCCGGTTCCCAGTTCTGAGTACCAGCAGTACAATGCTCAGATGGAGGAGTATCAAAGACTTGCCCTCCACAGACACGGGTCCCAGAAGGAAGGCGGACATCACGTCGGCAACCAGGCCATCTATTCCAGAAGCAGTGAAGAGAGTTCAGGGTCGTTCACTAGTGTGGAGGATCCACAGAGGGTGCCTCAGCCCAACCCAAACTACTGTTACGTCTCAGCTGGCAGGCAAGGAGGGGACATACAGGGGGTAAATGTGGCTGGGGATTGGCGGGATTCGGGCTACCGCAGTGGGGATAGAAACAGTGCCAGTTCGACGAGTAGCCTGTCGTTTGAGTCGCCCGGTATTGAAGGCTCCTACACCATGGCACCACAAGGCAACAATCAGGACAACTTAATCGAGTTTTCGCTACCACCACAGCAGCAGGGTCAGGGGTCAGCAGCA